GGCCAGCCTGCAGTTGTGTCCAGACACCTCATCACCAGACTGCTTAACCCCTTTTATATTCTCTCCTTTTTTCTCAACCCCAGCGTCACTACTTTACTCACACTCCAAACTTCTCTCACCTAGTTTGCTTTTTTACATCTCTCTGTCCTTGCTATGAATCCCTTCCCAAATCACTTTCAAACCCAAAGTCAGAGAGTTTTTCCAAAATTGCAGATGTCATATGTCAGGTTAAAATTCTTCAGTGCATTTAATGCGTCAAGTAAAAAAACAGTTTTAAAACCAGCATGTAGACAGCAGCCCAGCCAACTTGGTCAGTAGAGCCTGAGACTTAAAGCTGTCATATGAGGTTTTCAAAGACTAAGTTCTCTGTATTACTTTTGTCTTGTAGGTAACATATTCCCACATATATGTATTGCTTTAATTATTCCAACATTCTTGGAATTACATGAGTACCCTATTCTATGTTGCATATGCTTTTTGTGTGCTTTCCCTTCCTTCTTTATCTGAATTCACTCTTCTCATCTTCAAACTTCAGAGACCTGCCCCTCAGAAGGACTCATTGACGGTGGCAAGTCAACATCAATTATGTCAAAAGCACTTTAGGTTATGATCCCTCTCTGTTTATTCATAACTTTCTGATTTATCTCTATTGTAGAAAACCTTTCAGCATCCTGATGGTTTCTTTTCTAAGAGTCAGGACAATGTCTCATTAAACTTCTTAATTACAAACTAGTATGATAGAAGCTTCAAAATATAGTGAAATAAATACAGATTTAGAAGGTCAATTCAGGTTTAAATTATTTTCATTTCATATTCTAGAATTAAACCTCGACATGTTCTTTAAACTTCTAGTTTTTGCTTTCCTCATCCATTGGTAGAATAAATAACATCAACCTTACAGATTTATTTAAGATGTTAGCTAAATGATGTATATAAAATTCTGATATATATGTTAGGTATAGATTATAGTTATCATTATTAACAACATTAATTATCGAAGATTGTTGAGTATGACAGACTCAGTCCTTTTTTCTTGTCTCCATGACTATGCTCCTCCTTTTTACTTATTTATTTATTTTTTATGTTTTTGCCATAATGCACTCACCAGTCCCAGTGAAAGACAGAAAGTGAGAAATCACTTTCCCAAACCCAATGATTTAAAAAACATTCTAGGTACATGTGTGTGCATGCCAAAAATCCAGACAGAATGGAGAAATGGAGGGGAAGGGATTGTGGCATAACTACACATAGTTCCTTCCTCTCTCTCTCTCTCTCTCTCTCTCTGTTTTCTCTGTCTGTCTCTCTCTGATAAGGGTACATGTTCTCTGACAATCAAAAACAAAAATAAAAATCTTGAATCTGGATATATTTTCATCTATATGTCTATCTTAAAAGACATATATAGTCTAAAATAACTATATTTTTCATGTTGTGAAGTATATGTATATGTAGAATTTTTTAAAAGTCAGGAATGACTCAGCTCTTGGGACCAGCAGATGGCAGAGCAGGAAGTGGCAATGATATGTGGCCAGGTGACCTCACATCTACCCAGTGTTGACCATCATCCCTACCTTATACGTCCTGGTGCTCTGTGACCCAAGATGGTGTAATGATTACATTGCTGGACTCTCACATAGCTGACTGTGGTTCGAATCCCAGATCCAGTGGCTTAAATCTCATGACAGGTGTGTATGTGTGCGTGCCCAAGATCCTAAGAGGAGAATGGAGGGGAAGGGACTGCAGTGTGGCCATCACCACTGGGGGGCAATTTCTCACTCTCTGTCTTTCTGGCGAGCACATGTGCCCTATAGTAAAAACCTCTCTCAAGAAAAAAAAGACTGTTAGGTCAACCAGGAGAATCTGAGTAAGGACCTCGTATTTGATAAAATTATTGCATCAGTGATACAATTCTTGAGTGATGAAGAAACTGTGGTTGTGTGTGTTTAAGGAGGCTGTCCTTGTTCTTAGGAGATAGCTGCTCAAATCTTAAGCAATAAACAGTATTTGCTACTCACTCCTTTAAAAAAAGAATTATTTTATTTAATTTTATTAGTTAATTTATTTTGGGGGGGAGAGAGGTTTTTGTTATAGGGCACATGTGCTCGCCAGAAAGACAGAGAGAGACAGAGAGACAGAAAGTGAGAAATCACCCCCCGGGGGGATGGCCACACTGCAATCCCTTCTCCTCTGTTTTTTAGGTTTTTGACATAGGGTATGTGGACTTGCCAGAGAGAGAGAGGAAAAGTGAGAAATCACCCCCTGGAGGAGATGACCACGCTGCAATCCATTCTCCTCCAGTCTCCTTTCAAGATTCTTAGCATGCCTGCACGTGTGCCTGCCATGATTTCGGAGCCACCACGCCTTGAGTTCGAACTACAGCCAAACTGCAGGTGGGTCCAGACACCTCATCACCACACTGCTTAACCCCTTTTATATTCTCTCCTTTTTCTCAACCCCAGCGTCACTACTTTACTCACACTCCAAACTTCTCTCACCTAGTTTGCTTTTTTACATCTCTCTGTCCTTGCTATGAATCCCTTCCCAAATCACTTTCAAACCCAAAGTCAGAGAGTTTTTCCAAAATTGCAGATGTCATATGTCAGGTTAAAATTCTTCAGTGCATTTAATGCGTCAAGTAAAAAAACAGTTTTAAAACCAGCATGTAGACAGCAGCCCAGCCAACTTGGTCAGTAGAGCCTGAGACTTAAAGCTGTCATATGAGGTTTTCAAAGACTAAGTTCTCTGTATTACTTTTGTCTTGTAGGTAGCATATTCCCACATATATGTATTGCTTTAATTATTCCAACATTCTTGGAATTACATGAGTACCCTATTCTATGTTGCATATGCTTTTTGTGTGCTTTCCCTTCCTTCTTTATCTGAATTCACTCTTCTCATCTTCAAACTTCAGAGACCTGCCCCTCAGAAGGACTCATTGACGGTGGCAAGTCAACATCAATTATGTCAAAAGCACTTTAGGTTATGATCCCTCTCTGTTTATTCATAACTTTCTGATTTATCTCTATTGTAGAAAACCTTTCAGCATCCTGATGGTTTCTTTTCTAAGAGTCAGGACAATGTCTCATTAAACTTCTTAATTACAAACTAGTATGATAGAAGCTTCAAAATATAGTGAAATAAATACAGATTTGGAAGGTCAATTCGGGTTTAAATTATTTTCATTTCATATTCTAGAATTAAACCTTGACATGTTCTTTAAACTTCTAGTTTTTGCTTTCCTCATCCATTGGTAGAATAAATAACATCAACCTTACAGATTTATTTAAGATGTTAGCTAAATGATGTATATAAAATTCTGATATATATGTTAGGTATAGATTATAGTTATCATTATTAACAACAGTAATTATAGAAGATTGTTGAGTATGACAGCCTCAGTCCTTTTTTCTTGTCTCCATGACTATGCTCCTCCTTTTTA